AGGTGTTTAGATGGGGCTATGCAGATAAGGCTTACTGGGAAGTTTTAACAGTTCACATTGAGCTTCATGGAACAAAGAACGAGGGTTGTGCTTCAGGATGTAGTTACAAGGGAAGACACATATCCCCACTACAGTAGACCAATGCAAGATATACCCACTTCCCTGCCCACAACCATTTTGCAACTAGCACAGGTCGAATTGCGACCACGCTGAAATCTCTGGATGCCAGGTTGGTGACTAAACATCTCCATCTGGCTGGCCCCTCCAACTATCTTAAGCAGAAGAGTTTATTTACTGCCTTTATTTCCTACCTTTGTCTCCAAGGAGTGCTTCCCCCTCCCCAGTTAATCCCTACAACAACGCTGTGAGATTGGGACCGGGACAAGGTCACCCAGTGAGCTTCATGACTGAGTGGGGATTTGAACCCTGATCTTCTAGGTCCTATTGACACTCTAACCACCACTACACAACACTATCTTCCTAGAGTATTTCTGCTGTTGTGTGGCTATATAAAATAAGTAGGTAAATAAATCTGGGGCAAATAAAATGATACTTAGAGAAGGATCTGAAATATTATACTTGAAGCTAAAATTTGTTTTATTCTGCATTGTTTTATTTGATGTTTTAATGTGTTGTAAACAGCTTGGATATTTTTTTCTTTAAAATATAAAACAGTATAGAATGAAAATAATATTAATAACAGTAACAACTCAGCTGGAGGGGGTGACACCTAGACATACCATTGTGGTGACTGTAACCTAGGTTTAAGGTGCCATTTGGCAATTAACTTATATATCCGAGTTTCTAACACTGCCCACAACACCTGATACTGGATGGCCTGGCTTCTACCAATATAAGAAACCAAATGCAAGGGCTGCAAGGTAGATTTTCACTCCCTCAGAGGTCCCTGTAATATGCAAGCCACTGTCACCCTACCACACACACATTGCCCATAATGTAAATAGTAAATAGTATATTCCAAGAGAGAAGCATCACAGGTGATCCTTGTATTAGTCAATATCTGGGGCTAAGTTCTAAAATTAAAGATACTACAACTCAAACCAATCTAAAATTTCTTCCCCACTCCAACGTGTATGAAGCAGGGTTGGTAGTAGCTTCCCATTGGTCTGGGGAAAAGAATTATTCACAGGCACAAAGACACGAGCAACTTCGCAGAGCTGAATTCTGGCATCGAAAACAGTTTGCTAACTCAAACTAAGCCCTACAATTGGTGTCGCAAAGAGAAAGGTGGTTCACATGGGGGGAAGAGAATAAGCTTCGGGCAGACAAAACCTCCCTCGAGAGTTTATATAAAAGCTGCCACGGCGCCAGCGTCCCTCCCCCACCCTGAGAGGTGACAGCTGGGGGCCAAAGAGGAGGAGAAGAAAAAGCGGGTTGGGAACAAAACAGAAAAGGTATGCTCGCGCTAGCAAGATCAGCAAGGACCAGAAGCCGGGCAAGTAAATGAGGAAGGGAAGCGGGGGCAGAGGAAGAAACTACCTTCTACTTTGCAACACATGTTGGTCTTTGACCCCCTAGCATCGCCCTCACCCCTCTTCTCCGCCTCCAGCACTTTCGGGGGGAGGGGGAAGGGAAAAGCCGAAAGATGCAGGGCGATCCGCGTGGAGACGAGAGAAAAGTGAGTTGCTCGCCTACCAGGGCAGCCCTGCGCGCGTTGACTCGGAACTCGGTCGCTCCGCGGCTTACGAAAAACATGCCCACGACGCAACCCTTGGCTTAGGTATATCGCTACATATCCCCCATATGGGCACTTCCCCCTCGCACGCGACCCCCTCAAAGTCCCTTCCCTTCTTCACACGGGGAGATAAAGCGAGAGCCAGCGCCGTCTCCTCTCCCTTTGCTCCCGGCCCGGGAGGGCAACGCGGAGAAGGGCCCGAGCCGCCTTCCGCCTTCCGCCCCCCCCCCACCTCCCGGTCCTGGGCACCGGCGAGAGGGAGCCAGGAACACATGGGAGCCTCGCTGCCGGGGCTAGGAGGCAGCCTCCGCGCCGTCCGCCCAGGCGGACTGCCGAGGCGGCCCCCACCCCGGCCTGCGCCTGTCACCGGCCTCGGCTTGCCGGCCTGCCCTTTCCCCCCTCAGCCCGGCCCCCTGCGCGCCGTACCTGTCCGGCGTCGCTGCTGCCCCTCTCGGCCTCCTCCCGGCCCCCCACGCACCGCGGCCCGGCGGCTGCTATCACTATGGCGGGCACACACTTTGCTCGTCACCGCGCTAGAGCTCCGTCACCCCCCTCCCTCTCCCACGCGCTCATCGGCTCGCTCGCACGCACGCACGCCGGAGGGGGGACGGGACGGCGCGCGCTCTGGCGACAGGGAAATGTAGTCCGGGCTACCTGCGCGTGCGCCGCCGAGTCCAAAGCCCGCTCCCTCCTCTCGCAAGGCACTTTGGGAGTTGCAGTCTACTGTCCCCATAATAGCGCATCTCTGTATCTCCCGCCGATAGGCCGCTCGCTGCGTGTTTGAGGGAGCAGCCGGTGAAGGCGCGCTATTGACAGCTTGCTTGCCCTTACTGCTGTCGAGGAAATAATATTGAAATAGAAAACGGGAGCTGGAAGAGCAGCTGCTGAAGGAGTTGTCAAGAGTCACCGCAGTTGAACATTTATCAGAAGCTAGATGAAAATGTTCAGGCGCTGGGAAACCAAGTGCAACGTTATTCTGCTTTAAAAGTGCTTCTGCCTTAGCGAAGAGATGCGGAGGAAAGAGATGGGCACTGGCTCCAGAGCTGCTGTAACGCTTACCTGAATGCATCAGAGTGGTACCTCAGGTTAAGTACTTAATTCGTTCCGGAGGTCCGTACTTAACCTGAAACTTTTCTTAACCTGAAGCACCACTTTAACTAATGGGGCCTCCTACTGCTGCCGTGCCACCGGAGCCCGATTTCTGTTCTCATCCTGAAGCAAAGTTCTTAACCTGAAGTGGTGAGCAGTTCCAGGAGAGCAGTGCTTATCTGGGCTGGGTTTCTTTAGGAGGAAGGTCACTCACTGGAAGATGAAGGTGTTCTGCAATATTTGAGTTCATAAGGCTCAAATATAGAGAAATATACAGGTGGAGTTCAGGCAGAGGCACAGCTTAAACCAGGGGTGAGGAACCCTCTTTCATCTCCATGTGGCCTTCCGGATTCTCCCTATGCCATGCTGCTCCCCAGACCACACCTTTGTCTCCAGGCCACACCAGCCCTGATCCATACCCTCCTTGTGTAGTAATAGTAGTAGTAGTGGCAGTAGCAGGGGACGCGGGTGGCGCTGTGGGTAAAACCTCAGTGCCTAGGACTTGCCGATCGCATGGTCGGCGGTTCGAATCCCTACGGCAGGGTGCGCTCCCGTCGTTCGGTCCCAGCGCCTGCCAACCTAGCAGTTCGAAAGCACCCCCGGGTGCAAGTAGATAAATAGGGACCGCTTACCAGCGGGAAGGTAAACAGTGTTCCGTGTGCTGCGCTGGCTCGCCAGATGCAGCTTTGTCACGCTGGCCACGTGACCCGGAAGTGTCTGCAGACAGCGCTGGCCCCCGGCCTCTTGAGTGAGATGGGCTCACAACCCCAGAGTCTGTCAAGACTGGCCCGGACGGGCAGGGGGTACCTTTACCTTTACCTTTAGTGGCAGTAGCAGCAGCAGCAGTAATAATAATAATTTATTTATACCCCACCCATCTGCCTGGGTTGCCCCCAGACACTCTGGGCAACTTCCAACATATAAAACATAATAAAACATTAAATATTTTTAAAAACTCCCTATGTAAGGCTGCCTTCAGATGTCTTCTAAAGGGTGTGTACTTATCTCCTTGACTCAGGGGGATGCAAAACTCCATATCCTCCAACATTTCTCCAATGAAAATAGGGACGTCCTAAGGAAAAGCAGGGCATTCCAGGATCAAATCAGAAACCAGGACAGCTTCTGTAAATCCAGGACAGAACTACAGTTCCCAGCACCCATAACAAACTACTGGCTCAAGGTCATGACTCTTGGTGGTTTAAATTTATGGTGTAGATGTGACCACACAGAAACCAAACTCATTTCTCTGCATTGTATCCAACTAAGTTCTACTCACTGAAATTAATAGACCTAAATGAGATACAGGGGTACCTCGGGTTAAGCACTTAATTCGTTCCAGAGGTCTGTTCTTAACCTGAAACTGTTCTTAACCTGAAGCACCACTTTAGCTAATGGGGCCTCCTCCTGCTGCCGCGCTGCCGAAGCACGATTTCTGTTCTCATCCTGAAGCAAAGTTCTTAACCTGAAGCACTATTTCTGGGTTAGCGGAGTCTGTAACCTGAAAGCGTATGTAACCTGAGATACCACTGTAAATCCAAGGCCAACCTACCATGTGCTAAATGACGGATGGGCAGAAGGTAGATTGGGATCTACTGGTAGCTCTCTGGCTGATTTGCAATAGGATGTTTAAGGTTAGCAATGACAAAATTGTGTTTTTCCTCCTAAATCGTTGCTGAAATGAAGAGGGTTAACTAGGGTTTCATTTTGGGGTGAACTGACAGAGCTGAGTTCACTTCTGGTACTGAAAACCAATTATCGGGCTCAGAATGTGCTCACACCCTGTTCTTTAACACTACAGTACGTATCTTTTGTGCCTGGCCCAGGTTGGTGGATATTGGAGTTTGGAACTAACTGAGTATATCCAAGGCAGCTGAATTCTGCCTGCCTCTGAACAAAATACTGTAATGTACAAAGCAGACATTGGGAAGCTAGTGGCCGTTTCCTAAATATGTTTACTTGAAGGTCCTATTGTGGTCTTATGGGACTTAAAGGTAAAGGGACCCCTGACCATTAGGTCCAGTCATGACCGACTCTGGGGTTGCGGCGCTCATCTCACTTTACTGGCCGAGGGAGCCGGCGTACAGCTTCCGGGTCATGTGGCCAGCATGACTAAGCCGCTTCTGGCGAACCAGAGCAGCGCACGGAAATGCCGTTTAGCTTCCCGCCGGAGCGGTGCCTATTTATCTACTTTCACTTTGACGTGCTTTCGAACTGCTAGGTTGGCAGGAGCAGGGACCGAGCAACGGGAGCTCACCCCGTCGCGGGGATTATGGGACTTACACACTAGTAAATGTGTTTTGCGTTGTTTCCCAACTGTACAACTTTTTAAACCTAGGATTCTAGTTTACATTCATTCATAGTCATAAGACCTGTGTTATGAGAAGACGTGCACTCAAATTCTCTTTTTTGTAATTTCCAATGCAGGTTCTAACATGGAGAAAAGCAGTTGTTCCAAATAATAGCCCAATCCTATATGGATTTAGGTATACCTGATTCCATTGAAATTAATAGGTTTACAGTGCAATCCTGCGTCTCATATATCCTATATCCATAAGTATATACAAAAATGCAGCTTTAAGTGCTGGTAACATTGCAGAGAAATAGGAAATAAGAATATAGTATATACCTATGGCTGTTCCTTTTCAAAATATGAATACACTTTTGCATAGAATACTGCTTTGCATTCAGAACTTCACAAGTGCTCTTCCAAGAACCATACAAATTAAAATTAGGACCCATTTGTTTTTCTGGACATTTCAAACATCATAGTATTGGTGTTGCCATTGTAAGATAGTGCTCAACGTGGCTGACAGTACATAAATGAAGAACAAAATCCTTCAGCAATAAACACCAATACATATCAATAATGCAATCACAATATTAACCATTTGGTTAATAAGCTACATTGTGAGTCAGCCAAACCTGACCATCGCCATCAAATTAAACTGTTGTGTCCATATTTGCAACCTTTTTTTCTTTTTTGTAATTTAGTGTTTTATTGATTTTTCAGAGTCAATAATACAGAAACATTAAATAAAGCTCTCTCTCTACAAATAAATAACAATTACATTCACCGTCTCCGGTGCCTCACTTTTATTTTCATTCACAGCATCAAATTAAATATATAGAAAGCAATTTCCTCTGAGATAATTAATACAAAAATATAGTAAGACCCGTTGAACTCTCTTGCTGCTCAACAAAAATCCACAGCATTTCACTGTATGTTATTCTGTCTAAGATTGCAGTCCTAACCCCACTTATGTGGGTGTAAACCCCATTGAATTAAATATGACTTACCTCTGAGTAGACATGGTTAGGTTTGTAATCCTTATAAACAAAATTACAGCTGCTATCTGAACCACTTCTCTCTCCCTACTGTTACAGAGTTCAGTGGGACCTATTCTCAAGTAAGTGCACATAGAACGAGACAGCAATCCATGACATAGATTTAATTGAACTGGACTTTTAAGTAGCTATAAGTATTATTTGTTCCAGGTTTGTTTGACTAGAATTAACTTCCTGAGAGAGGTTAGATATTATTTTTAATGCATGAAATATTTATTGCACGCTTGTATGATAACCAGTATACTAATTTGGGTCTATGTATGTAGCAAACCTATGGGCCAGGGATTATATCACTTCATTCTGTACTTCCTTTAGTAGAGATGAGCTAAAGTTTGGAATCAGAATCTGCCATCAACATCTGACTTTTGGTTAAATGACTGAGGGAAGTTAATACAACATTTTTCATTTCTGTAGAAACCATCAGACGCTGTCAAATGTAAACTGCTATTGCATGCAACCTGTCAGATGTTGAATACTATATGTCAGATACAGAATTATCATCATTATTGTATTTTCTACGTTTATGTATAAAAATAGCATATTACAACAAACCAATTTAAAATACTACCCCTAAAATGCAAACTAAACTAATAGAATAGATACAGCAGTTAAAAACAGTAGCATAATCTGTTCTAGAATTCAAGTCAGAATTTAGTTCCCCTAAAATCACCCAGATATAGTGTGCTCAGGGAGTCATTCCATGTGCAAAGGCACTCTTGTATACAACTAAGGCCAGGTCTAAGGCCAGGCCCAGAGCATCCCCAAGCTGTGACCCTGCATTTTCAGAAGGTGTGCAACCCCTCCCAACACCAGTCATCCAAACTGGAATACTTCCTGCTGCCAGAAGGAACCCCTATACTGCTTGGATTGTTTCAGCTTGTTAGGTCTCATCTGACCTGGTCTAGGGCAGCCTACGCACCATACAATTTAGGCACATTTAAAAGCACATGACTTCTAGTAAAGAATCCTAAGAATTATAGTTTGTTAACAGTAGTGGGAATTGTAATTCCATGAGATATAAACTACAGTTCCCAGTAGTATTTGGGTGAAGAAGCCATGTGTTTTAGATGTAAAGTGTGTACTTAGTCTACACCCTTCTTGGGATAAGTGTTATGAGCATACCAGGCTGGTAGCCAGATTGAAGTAGGTAATAAATTCAGTTTTCTGCAGGAAAACCTGGAGCCGAGATGCCATCACCCACTGCAACACCTTACCTAAGAAAAGATCAAGACTGAGCAGAAAATTAGACCAGAAACAATAGGAGAGAATGAAGTATGAGTGAAAGAATCAAAGAGATGAGTGCAAAATGGGAAGAAGCACAAAATTTTCTGTTTTGGAAAAAATCACTACAACAGAACATGGACGAAGAATCCAAAATAAAGCAAAAATAAAAGCATAAAGGTCAAACACTGGACAAGAGGTGCAATCAGATTAACAGGTGTTAAGTTAAATAGATATTATCAAAGGAGTTATCAAAAGAGGAAGATTAGATTATTTTGGGAAGGAGAGCATGCAAATATTTGTCTCCCAAATCAGAAATCTCTATAGACACTCCCACTGTTCTAAATGGTCATACAGATTGCACATTTTCTGAGATGCAGTAGAGTACTTTTTCTAGTTGCACAATTTCCAGCATCACTGGCCTGAGAAGAGACTCCTGCCTAAAATTCTCAAGAGTCACTGCCCGTCAGTGTAGACAGTACTGAGCTAAATTAACCAATGGTCTGACTTAGTATAAGGCAGCTTCCTGTATTCCTAGGGCTTTTCTACACCTTTAAGAGAGTAGATCAAAGATGCCAAGGGATTTCAAGTTTATGCCTAAAAATGTAAGGTGTGTTGGTCCATCAAACAGGCATTTGAAAACACATAATATAGGTGCACTTGTCAGATAAATACCTAAGTTTCACTATGACTCCTTATTGAGAGTACACCCAGTAGCAAACATATTTCCCATAAGGTTTCTAGTTTGCAGAAGGCTGTATTTCAAAGAACACTTTATATTTACCTTTAGAGAAAAACCTGTTGATTGACGCTGATGAAGCTGGTTCAGCATTAAGAGAAGACGGCAACTCGTTTTCTTCTGGTGCCAGATGACTTTGTTTCATTTGGTTTTTCTTCTGTTACAACCACCTTGCCTTCTTCAAACTATGTGTTTTATCACCAGATTCCATTCTGATGTCACAAAGCAGCCAGATATTCTCTTGTAAGCATGTTTCTTTCTTTGGTTTTCACAAGAAGCCTTTGAAAATCAAAATACTGCAGGATAGGTTGTATATATCCCGATAGACACATTGGTGCACAATGAATTTTTAAAGGATTATGCTGGATATGCAATTTTTTTTTGTAAACTTTGGGCACTGAAGTGTTCCAGGTGGATTTCCCCACTAATGCCACACATGCATTTAACAACGAAGGAAAGGAGGAAGAGAACAGGAGAATATCCCAGTGGGTGCATATCATAAAGGCCTGTATTCAGAGCACACTTTTGCTAGCTGTTCTTTTGTGATACAGATTCATGAATATCAAAGGATGGAGAGGTTTGTCCTGAACTCAAAGCCAATTGGTAAAATGTCTTTCATTCTTTCTTTCTTTCTTTCTTTTGTGTTGAGCCTACAAAACAGGAAACCGATTCTGCCACATGCTCTACTATTCTTAAATGGCATTCCCCTGAAAACAAAGAGCAAGAAAAGGTAAAATAAAATTCAGATTTGCTGGACAGTATATTTCACCCTATAGGACGCGGGTGGCGCTGTGGGTAAAAGCCTCAGCGCCTAGGGCTTGCCGATCGAAAGGTCGGCGGTTCGAATCCCCGCAGCGGGGTGCGCTCCCGTTGTTCGGTCCCAGCGCCTGCCAACCTAGCAGTTCGAAAGCACCCCCGGGTGCAAGTAGATAAATAGGGACAGCTTACTAGCGGGAAGGTAAACGGCGTTTCCGTGTGCGGCGCTGGTGCTGGCTCGGCAGATGCAGCTTTGTCACGCTGGCCACGTGACCCGGAAGTGTCTCCGGACAGCGCTGGCCCCCGGCCTCTTAAGTGAGATGGGCGCACAACCCTAGAGTCTGTCAAGACTGGCCCATACGGGCAGGGGTACCTTTACCTTTATATTTCACCCTGAAAGACTCATCCAGCATAGGCATTAGGTTTGTCCTGTCCCATACCTTGTGCTACAAACCAGCTGAGGTAATTTGTTCAGGAGATTTTTCTCAGCGCACAAATATAATATATGCTGTGGAGATGTGACTCAGCCAAGGATCCTGTATTCAGTAGGCAAGTGGAAGCCAAGACAAAGCCTTTTGCTTAAGACGAACATTGCAGAGAATGAAGGGTCCCATGAGGTTAGATTCAGGTAGGTAGCCATGTTGGTCTCATGCAGTCGAAATAAAAAATAATTAGTCCAGTAGCACCTTGGAGACCAACTAAGTTTGTTCTGGGTATAAGCTTTTGTGTGTATCTGAAGAAGTGTGCATGCACACGAAAGCTTATACCCAGAACAAACTTAGTTGGTCTCTAAGGTGCTACTGGACTTTTTTTTTTTATTTTAGTCCCATGAGATGTGAGCTGACAATAAAGGCCAGAACACAACTCATGTGACTATAAGCTCAAAGCAAAGTTTGACCCAGAAGAATAGTCAACTGTTATGCACCAGGTCTCACCAATCTTTTTGGGCCCATGAGCACAAATACTAAGGTTACAGTCCTAAGTTTAACTAATCACACTGAATACAACAGGTTTTAGGTGTAACCCACAAGACACTGATCTACTATGAAGGACAATGTAACTGTCCCAAAGTGGATTTCTACAGCAGAAGGGAAATGGCCAGATAGGATTATCATCAAAGAACCAAGGAGAGCTTAAACTGAAATGTACCAATGCTTACCTTATGCAACATCTTTATTGTGAATATGGCTATTGTCCATGGAATGAGGTTTCTCCCAGTGCAGGCAGCATTCCTTATGTTTGTTTTAAAATACAAGGTTCCAAGTTATTTTTTTCTGTAACTTGTTTTAGCAGTTCTGCAATATACTGTAGTAACACTTTCCCCTGATACGTCATATGCCAATTTGACCCAAAGGTTAACTATAAAATACACCATTAAAACTTCCTTTTATTACTTTGCACATTGTTGGTTTTGAATCTGCCTTATGCTCTTGATTAATGCAAAGGTTAAACGAAGGAAAAGAACTCAATTTGTCTTTCCAGTGCTATTCATTTATTATCTGCCATGCCTGCTCTTCTTGATGTCCCTTCTGAATTAAATAGTTTGCATCTTTTCAGCCTCTTAGCATATAAAAATGACCTAAGACTTTCATTCATTTTTCTATTCTCTAGATGTTTTCTATTTCTATTATGTTCTCTTGAGGAGCTTGGATGAGAGAACTTGAGCATGTCTTGGTAGGTTTAAAACTGATTTACAGAACAATTATTCCTCTTATTTTTAGGACTGCCATAGTTTGCAGTGCTTACTTCTATGCTAGAGGCTTTCAACAATCACTCTAGTTCTTTGTCTGCACTGGTTCATTAAGAACCCTGCTAGATTCTTGAAAAATATCATATTGTTTATTTAATGCAATAAGAAGAGATTGCTGGATCAGGCCTGTAGCCCACCAAGTCCAACGTCCTGTTCTCACTGTGAACGACCAGATGCCCATGAGAAGCCCACAAGCAGGATTTGAGCGCAATGTCTATCCCATTTTAAAACCATGCTTGCCCCCAACCCTTGTGCTTAAAACTAACTAGACCATAGATCTCATTCTCGTTGCTATGCACACTTGGCTTTTACATCGAATGCATGGTGCCACCTACCTCCATTTCACTCTTATATACAGTACCTCCAACATAATTTCATCCCCATCCTTGAACTGTTCTCGGTTTCATCCCACATTCCTCTCTTTGCCACTTCATTTCCACAACAACATGGGAAGATCCTGCCAATTTAGGCCAATGACCCATCTACGACAGCATCCTGTTCTCAAAGTGGCTAAACAAAAACCATTAAGCAGGACCTAACCAATCAGAAGGTTGGCGGTTCGAATCCCCGCGACGGGGTGAGGTCCCATTGCTTGGTCCAAACTCCTGCCAACCTAGCAGTTCGGAAGCATGTCAAACTGCAAGGAGATAAATAGGTACCGCTCTGGCGGGAAGGTAAACGGCATTTCCGTGTGCTGCTGTGGTTTGCCAGAAGTGGCTTGGTCATGCTGGCCACATACGCCGGCTCCCTCGGCCAATAAAGCGAAATGAGCGCCACAATCCCAGAGTCGGCCATGACTGGACCTAATGGTCAGGGGTCCCTTTACCTTTAAGTATAACAGCACTCTCCTCACATGTGATTCCCATCAACTGGCATTCAGAGGTTTTACGGCCTCTGACACTCATAGAACGTAGCCGTCATGGTGAGTAGGCATTGATAACCTCCATGAATTTGTCTAATCCTCTTTCAAAGCAATTCAAGTTGGTAGCTATCACTACCTCTCGTGGGAGCACATTCCATAGTTTAACAATGTGCTGTGTGTTAAGTTATTCATTTTGTCCAATTTAAGGAAACTGGGATGCAGCAGTCATGCTCCTGTAGATTTATGCCTGCTTTTGGCAAAGTCCTTGGGATTGCAAATGAATTTGGGGGGAGAGGGGAGAAACCCTGAGCCTCGACTGCTTACAAACCTTTAAGGCATGTGCCCCCTTAAGTAGGTCTAGCCTATAGTTTGAGATAAAGCTGTTTTAATATGCAATACCTGGAACCTGCCTACAAGGAATTACAACGGGGGGGGCAGGCGCTATTGGGTTGTTGTTTTTATTTTTATTATGTATTTTGTGGTTTTACATCTTGATTTTATTCTGTGAACCGCCCTGAGACCCCCAGGTATAGGGTGGTATAATTAATAATAATAATAATAATAATAATAATAATAATAATAGTAATAGTAATTTGTGGTGTAGGGGAGTTGCAGATAAGTATTTATATTATGTATTTGTAATATAGGAATCTGCTTTATATTGAGTTAGACCATTGGTCCATCTAGCTCAGTACTGTCTGCACTGCACTGACTGGCTAAGGCTCTCCAAAATTTCAGACTGGGTTCTCTTCTAGCCCTACCCATAATTTTTTTAATGGGACTTGAGTGTGTATAACTACACACAGTTATTCCAACAGTGCAATCCCCACTCATTTAAATGGGGCTTTGCATAAGAAACCTTCTAAATGGATTGTATACCCTTCATATTTTAGCTGTTTCACAGTGCATTCTTGTACTTTATGTACTTAAAACTCAGCCCCATTGAGTCCCAGCTAAGTATGGACAGGACTGTAGCCCACGGCATATATTTTCAATTAAATGTTGATTATATTAGCCTTTGGCAATGGTGAAAAAATGTGGGGTGTAAATAAATACACCTAGAAGCACATAATAAAGCATTAATCTACCAGATTGCTAGAGGTTAAAGAAATCAATGAGTTAAAGTGATGAGTAAAACAATCTTTTATATAAATTATTACTGGTAAGAAATATGAAAATGTGCTCATCCACGAGTCACCTGAAACCTCAAAGGCATAATCTAAAAAGAGTTAGCATTGGAAATTGCCCTTGCAAATACTACAAAGCAAATGTAATTAAATTTCTTTCTAAGGTGGAATTGGTTCTATGACTTTTGGAGCACGGTGGATAAATGAAAAGGATGCTCTGCATCTGATGGAACAAATGAATGCACTCATTGATGGAGTCGTGGCGGCAGGTTCAGTATATTTTGAATGAAAGCTAAGTGCCCATGGTTAGAAGCAGGACCAGAAACTGAGGCAAGCAAAATGCACAACTGGCGAAGGACCATGGGAAGAGAATATACAATTGCACTGTGTTGCATAGGAAAGTGCCTTGTACTGAGTCAGACCATTGGTCCATCTAAGTCAGTATCGTCTATATTGACTGGCAGCAGTTTTACAGGGTTTCAGGTAGGGTCTCTCAGAGCACTTTCTGGAGATATTGGGGATTGAACCTGGGTCCTTCTGCATGCCAAGCAGATGTTCTTCCGCTCAACTACAACCCTTCCCTCACAGAGTGATGGGCTTTCCCCAAAAGGCCAATGGTCAAAGCTTAACTTTGTTGTTGTATAGTTGTTCAGTCATGTCCGACTCTTCATGACCCCATGGACCAGAGCACGCCAGGCACTCCTGTCTTCCACTGCCTCCCGCAGTTTGGTCAAACTCATGTTGGTAGCTTCGAGAACACTGTCCAACCATCTCGTCCTCTGTCGTCCCCTTCTCCTTGTGCTCTCAATCGTTCCCAGCGTCAGGGTCTTTTCTAGGGAGTCTTCTCTTCTCATGAGGTGGCCAAAGTATTGGAGCCTCAAAGCTTAACTAATAATCAGTACGGTAATTCCAGTCTGCACTTCAGCCAACCCCCCCCAACATATTATTATTATTATTATTATTATTATTATTATTATTATTATTATTAACCCACCCTTCACCCTAAGGACCCAGGGTGGGTTACAATAATTTTAAACAGTTTTAAAACTTACAATGAAAAAATGAATTGCTTCACCCAGCCAGCTGCAGCCTTTCCTTGAAACCTGCCCTGCTAGCAGGAGAGGAAAGACCCTGCAAGTGAATCTGTGTGAAAGGGCAGCCTGGTTTTTTGCCAACATGTCTATTATTCATACGGAGGAGGGCCCCAGCTTACTGTTCAGCATAGCAAGGCCCATCTCTCTCTCCTTCTCCCTCTCTTGCAAGTAGATCTGCTCACAGTTACTGTTCCCCATAACGCCTCTAGAGGGAAGTAAGCACTTCTGTAACAGTGTTCACTATCCTGAGGAGCGGAACATCACCCTAGATATAGCCCTAATGCAGTGTTTCCCAACCTTTTTTGGGCAAAGGCACACTTGTTTCATGAAAAAAATCTCGAGGCACACCACCATGCCAGATGGGGAAAGGTCACTTTTTACTTATGTAAAAAAAAATAAAAAAATAGTAACAGCATAGAAGGTAATGGTTATCTCTTTGATGTCTGATGGGAGGGCATTCCACAGGGCGGGCGCCACTACCGAGAAGGCCCTCTGCCTGGTTCCCTGTAACCTCACTTTTCACAGTGAGGGAATTGCCAGAAGGCCCTTGGCACTGGATCTCAGTGTCTGGGCTGAACGATGGTGGCGGAGACGCTACTTCAGGTATACTGGACCGAAACCGCTTAGGGCTTTAAAGGTCAGCACCAACACTTTGAATTGTGCTCGGAAAGGTACTGGGAGCCAATGTAGGTCTTTCAAGACTGTCGTTACGTGGTCTCGGCGGCAGGTAGCAGCGCTCACAGCTTACGGACTGCACCGTGTAACAGGTGTCTGGCCCAGCAGCCTAAGGCGGACAAGCCACTGAAACAGGCATTCAGAATCCATTCATTTCATAAAACCTGCAGGGCTCAATCTCTGTGTTTGTGTATGTGTGTGTTTCTGTTTTGCCCAAGGGTCTGGGGGTGGGAGAGAGCTCTTTAGCATGATGCTTTTAAAACAATTAAATTATCAACAAACAAACCTGATGATACGAATAGCAACGTCAGGTGCTACGGGGGGGGGGGGGGGAGAAGGGGGCCTACTCAGAAGTAAATACTGCGTCCAGGCGCAATTAGCGCTGATTTAAGGTGCACCAAGACTGCCTAAAAACCTCACCAAAGATATGCAACAAAGCGCTTCGTTGCAGAGGGGAGAGTTTGTGCACCGTGGAGGCTGGAGGGCTTCTATTCTACATGCGGGGGTTGGGGGGGCGAGGAAAATGTGCTCCGTGGTGGGGCGGGGAAGGCAAAGTTGCAAAAGCGCCCTGCTCCTTCTTCCGCGGAGGGAAACGCTCCTGCGGAGGCGAGAGGCAGCGAGGAGGCGACGAGGTGAGGCTTTTGTGAGGTAGGGAGAGGAAAGACGGGGGAGGGAACCCAAGGAGGATTTGCACGAGAGGGAATGAAGGGGAAACGCGCCTCCCACGTGGAGCACTTTTCCCCGGGAAATGCACGGGGTGGGGTCGTGGCTGATCCGTGCTGCGCGCTCGCGTCGTGCGGCCCAAAGTGCTGCAGGATCGCCAATGCAAGACCCCCTTTTAAAACCTCCCCCTCCCCCAGCTCTGGAAAAAAAGGGGGAAGGGGATGGCGTCGGCGTGCGGAGGCTGCCCGTGCCCGGCCAGGCGTCGGTGGCGGTGTCAGCGCTGCTGCAGTGGCTGCTCCTCCTGCGAGCAGTGAGTGGAGCGCAGCCGCAGCGGCGGCGGGGGCGCGCGCGCGCTAGGGCGCAAGGCTGGCGGTGGCGGCGGGGAGCCCGGCGGAGGAAGGAACTTGTCCCTTCCCTCTGGACTCGCGCCCCCCGCAGATGTTGCGCCCGGTGCGACTGGCACCCCTGGCACCCCCCACGCTACGCCACTACTCCCACGGCACACTAGGCAACGTCCGGCGGCACACTAGTGTGCCGCGGAACACCGGTTGGGAAACACAGCCCTAATGAAGGGTATTGCCAGGATAAAACTCCATAGCTGGGCAATAGCTATACTGTACTTGTACCAGTCAGAACATCACCCAAATGTGGTAAGTTTTCAAATTCTCCAGACTCTTCTTAAGACAAGATGTTGCATCAAGGGTGGGGAACCTCTGACCCGCCAGATGTTTCTGAACTAAAATTCCCATCAGCCTAATGGCAGATAAGGTTATCAGTAGCTACTAGCCACAATGGATGTATGCTACCTCTTAATTGACGGCAACATGCCTCTAAACACCAGTTGCTGGAAAGCACAACCAGTGACAGTGAGGTTGTGAGAACCAGATACTAGAGTAGAGGGACTTTGGTCTGATCAGGGCTGGACTCCCCATAAAACAGGGTGAAGCACCCCCCCCCCAGGCAGCGGAAGTGCAAGAGGTGGCACTCTGCCCATCCCACCACTGCTGCCACTGCCAAGAGGGTGGCTGTTCCGGAGCGTGGTGCTGCCACTTGTCTTCCCTGCCCCCTAGCTCTTACCGAGTTCAGTGCAGAATGCCCTGGCTCTTACTGAGTTTGGTGAGAGCCAGGGCATTCCGGGGACAGAAGCTGAGTGGGGAGAGACAGCAATTCTCCCCTGCCCCTGAGACTGATCCAGCAGGGTTCTTATGATGTTATGACATGGAACTCCAATGATGGCTCTAGGAATGGAATAACAGGCCCTGTCTAGTGGCCCCGTTTCAGTCCCAGGTCTGTCACTGCAGCCCCAGGGGCCATCATTTTACTCCCAGGTCTGAAATTTGACTAACATGGATCATGATGTCAGTCTCTCCAGCTCTCACTCTCTCAAGCTCTGCCACTGCTACTCCTCTGACCCATTCCATACCTTCCCAGGAGCCATTATTTTGCTTTATTTATAGCTTGCATTTATTTCAATGAAGCCCAGTGATGTCAATTGGCATCTGCGGTTCTCACTACAGTGGTACCTCGGGTTACAGATGCTTCTGGTTACAGACACTTGAGGTTACAGACTCCGCTAACCCAGAAATAGTGCATTGGGTTAAGAACTTTGCTTCAGGATGAGAACAGAAATCGCACAGTGGCGGCGCAGCGGCAGGTCCCATTAGCTAAAGTGGTACCTCAGGTTAAGAACAGTTTTAGGTTAAGAACGAACCTCCAGAATGAATTAAGTTCTTAACCCAAGGTACCACTGTATTTCCTTTGAGCCTTCAGATAACTTCCAGTATTTCTTGTCAATCATTTTACAGCATCCATACAACTTCTCTGCAGGAGGATACTTCAATGATTATCTTGATTTGGAGCATGTGATTTAGATTTCCTCTCTTGAATGACACTTTATAGTTTCACATATAGTTATTTGAAATGATTTACAGAAATGAAAATGTGGCTGAATTCTAGCTTGTAAATTACCCCTGACTCTGAACTTGCAATTGTTAAGTACAATTACTTGGGAACAATTCACAATGAAATCATTGGAACTTACTTCTGCGTAAACGTGCATAGAACCAGACAGTGATAGCTCAAAATTCACCAGCTGCATTTTCTGGCATTTTTTAAACAGCTTAACAGACAGGGAGATAATTTGTGTTTAATGACCTTCACATCCTCTAATGCCTATAATTGATATTGTCTTGAATACTGACTCATATTGTAGTTGACAGGCATATAAAAACCGCTGTCAGAGTAAAATGTATATCTATCAAGACAAAGGAAGGATCCTTTTAGTGATTATTACAGCAGCCATCCTCTTTTGGATGCCATCTCACCTACGTGCTTCGTATGGCCTCTTGCTGCAGGACCACTAGTCAAAGGAGTATTTACGTACATAGTATTTTTTTCCCTTAAGGGCAAGTATTAAATGTGCTGGGGCAATGTACCCTGAAGCAGATAAGGAGCATAAGTAGCTTAAAACTTGGTGGATATTTGTTTGCTGGGCAGCAATTATCCACTGAACATTCACACTTTGGGATTATTAGAATGTTGTCCCACAGCACAAGTACCAGAGCAACTGTTTCCATTAATCCCTTTCTGCTTCTCACTGTTACTTAAGGAAGCACACAGTGTGTGGCAGTGCAGCATGTTTCTGGGAGAATCATTTCATTTCATTTATTTAAGTAATTTATATACCACCACTTCATCAACAGAATAAACATCTGAGTGGTTAGGAGCGTCCTACAAATATATCTAAAAGCCAAATACAATAAAAACTCCACATTTTAGAGCCACAAAGAACTATTAGGTAAGATATCCTGTTACAGATCCATATTAACATATGGAACCATAATAACTACTAAAGGTGAAAGGTAAAGGACCCCTGACAGCTAAGTCCAGTCACGAAAACTCTGGGATTGCGGCGCTCATCTTGCTTTACAATCATACCTCGGGTTAAATATGCTTCAGGTTGAGCGTTTTCAGGTAACGCTCCGCGGCGACCAGGAAGTAATGGAATGCGTTACTTCCGGGTTTTGCCGCTTGCGCAGGCGCTCAAAATGACGTCACCCGCAGTCGCGGAAGCAGCGAAATGCGACGCGCGCAGTCGCGTGTTACGTTCTACTCAGGATGCGAACGGGGCCAAGGGAGCCAATGTACTGTACTGTACTGTACTGGCCAAGGGATTCGATGTTTGTCCGCAGACAGTTTTTCCAGGTCATGTGGCCAGCATGACTAAGCCACTTCTGGCGAACCAGAGCAGTGCACGGAAACACTGTTTACCTTCCTGCTGGGGCAGTACCTATTTATCTACTTGCACTTT